CACTTAGTGGCTCAATTCCAAAACCGAGTTTAGATGGCTAATTTGGTGGATGGGTAGCGGAGGAAGTACCTAGTCTGAAACTCATTTAATTAATCGGAATGGCAAAGCCTTCTCATGTTTGTGAACACCTTTGCTTTTTTGTCATCTGTCAAGTGCCATGATGTGCAGAGTAACTGAAGGGTTCTGAGGCATGAGATATTTAGATGTTGGCTCAATTCCAAAACCGAGTTTAGATGGCTAATTTGGTGGATGGGTAGCGGAGGAAGTACCTAGTCTGAAACTCATTTAATTAATCGGAATGGCAAAGCCTTCTCATGTTTGTGAACACCTTTGCTTTTTTGTCATCTGTCAAGTGCCATGATGTGCAGAGTAACTGAAGGGTTCTGAGGCATGAGATATTTAGATGTTTTTGATGTGCACTTGCTTTTCTGGTGGATGTTAAAACAAAGCGATTCTGCCATTCCCACAGTTCCATTCAATCCCATTTGCTTGAAACCTGCTTCTATCAGCTGCTTAATAAAGGATAAATGCAACATTAAAAATAAAACAACCCTGCTGGGTTACGTGTACATATTTCTTGAGAATCAGATCTAACGTGTTGATCTAGTTTAACCCACTGAGGAGTACATTTCTATGGGTTTCCCCTGCTGAATACATTTCTATTTAAATAACCTGTTCTATTAAGGTGCAAATTGCAACTTTTAAGTAATGATTGCTAACAGTCTTATGTTTACTGCCACACAAGGACTTTCACGAAAACAAAATCTGCATTATTCATCTCCAGCTTCCATAAACAAAATAAATGTGGCTGGTAGCTGTTTCTGCGGTACTTTTCAGGAGCATTGCTTTTCAGGAGCATCGGTTCTCAGATAACCTCTCAGAGCCAACAGAAAGAGAATGAAAGAAAGAATGACAAAATTGTGGCATCAAAAGATGGTAAGCCCACATTCTTCTTCACTAGCATTAAGCAGTGAAATAGAAATTCATGATCACAAAATAAAATATGCACATCTAAGGAAGCTGCAGGGGGAAAGCAGAGTATAATCCAGAGAAATTGTGTTTGAAAGCTATTTTGTATCCATCAGCATAAAAAACAACATCAAAATGGCAGCTCTGGATTGTTGCCTCCTCTTTACCCCTCAGTTGGGTACTGTCTCTGGTGTAGAATCACTATGCGGGTTGTGCCCCAGAGGTGACCGTATTTCAGTGATGGATGCAGTACATCAAGGCCTGATTCTTTCCTTGCTCTTAAGAGTTCTACACCAGTGCAACTCCATTCATGGCAATAGAATTATTTCTGATTTACGCTGGTGTGAGAGAAGAATTGGTCCTACTATTTGTAAAGCCTTTTGGGGTTCACTGAGATAAAAAAAAGAAAAACACAAACTTTATATTAAATTATAAATTAAAATATGACATAATATTGGATACTGGTGTGAAGAGATTTAAACATCTGCTCTAAGAATGATCCAAATCGTAGTGAAAAAGAATGATGCTTCAGAGAAAATAGAGTCAGCTACAGAAAGATCATAGTTCTTTTGTTGACAAGAAATAAACTATATTTAAAAACATAACGGGAGACCAGAGAGGCCTAATAATCAAACATAAATAGTGTCCCATTTATCTAATTACAATAACTTGTTTCATTACAATACTCTGTAATATATTTTTTAGAAACACAGGGCCCAAAATTAATAATAGAAAAGGACAAAATTGCCATGTATATTTCTCTAGATAGATTTTCATCTAGCAGCAGGACTTCACTTCTGATTCACTTGCTTGTTCTCTCTAACCTTTACATTATTCATTAATCAAACTAGAAACCTGCTTTCAAAGTCAGTGCATGGTAGTAATTATTTACAGTTGTGCATAGTATTTAATTTTAAGCAATGACAAAAGCAGACATGTCCAGAATCATAAGGCTTATCATTTTTCTTCCCTGGGAGGTTAACTGCCTAAAGAAGCTAGAAGTTGCAAACTTTTCTTCAATATCCCTACTACCACCAGGACAAAATTAAGTGCAGCCAATGCCCTTGAGCCTGCAAAAGGTAAAAATAACAAAATGTGAAAATTAAAAATATACATTGTATTCAATCCTTCAAATCGAAGGGTAAAAAAGGAGCATTAGCATTTGCTTTAATGAGCAATATGTTTTCTGTTGTGCAGACTACCAGTAGTGTCACTGTTTGTTTTACCACACGAAACCGAACCTCAGTACTATTCATAAAAATGAAAGTTAGTTTTGAGAACTATCTACCTCAGGCAAGTGTACTCTTTGAAATCTCTCTCTCTCTCACACACACATACACGTTCAAAGCAAAAGTACTGGTAATGTAAGTATAAATACCTGCTATGTTGGATGCAACTGGATTATACTTAAATATCCAGTATTTTGCATATCTGAAACAACACTGAACTGAGGACAAATATAATCAAAGAAGTGCAACTCTGAGAACTGGTACTCTTTTCCCAATAAGATTACTGAATGAAACATGCCCTAGTTATTATGGTAATTAAAATGACTGCATAGATATTAAAAGCCTTTACAAGAATAATAATAAATGCAAGAATAATAATACGAATGAAATTGTTCTTAGGGTAACATCATATCTTCCCCACCAGGGAAATCTTGGTACGACGACAACACAAACATTATCTATAATGATTTACTTTAAAACAACTGTTTCCATAAACCAACTAAGCTACTTCTCCCCCCCACACACACACACCTGCCCCCCAATGCTTGTACTGTACACATACTCTAACCTAACATTCTGCTTGGAACACAAAATGAAATGAAGACTCACAGACTCACAACAGTAACAAAAGAAAAAAGAAGCAATTCTCACACTGAGATCATCAGCGGATGTTGGGATCGGGGGGAGGGGAGGAAGCTATCCTACAAGTTGAAAATGTTAATGACTCGTCCAGTGCTTTGTGAATAAAAACAATAATAATGAATGAGCACAGAGCTCTCTTTTCATAGATATGTTCCTGGATTAATTACCTTTTTGTAATTAAAAGAGACCTCTCCTTGCCAGTAAACAGACTGACCTCCAGCTTAGGTGCATGGGTCTGCCCCAGAAGACTTTGCCTACATACAAGTGTCCTAAATCTAAGTAAATGAAGCAGAAGCTAAGATCTGTTATAAGTTTATAAAAGTTCCCTGTGTCCCAGATCTCCAAAATTAGCTGCAAACACTACTTTTCAAAGTTTATTCAAGTATGTCACTAAACATGTCCATAGATTTTGTCTTTAGCTATAGTAATATGCTAAGGGTTGGAGTATTCAAAGTGTGTGTGTGTGGAGGGGACAATTAGCTGATGATCCCTAAACCATAAACACAACAGAACAAAACTTAGCTTTTCTTTAAAGCACTAATCTAAGATGGGGCACACACACACAAACATTAAAAATCAAACAAGATAATAATTGTGCATTTCTGGCTAAGAGAATCCAGAGGGCAAGACATACGTCATTGGCACTTGAGTTACCATGGTGAGTGATTTATTGATATGTATCAAGAATGAATAGATCAAAGGCAGCAAGATGACAGGTGATCAATCAAATGTCAAATCAAAGCTGGCAATCAACTGGAAAGCTGATTTTTCAGTGGGTGGGTCTGGCAGAAGAAAAATGAACTTCCATATTGCACTTCCCAGAAACAAAGCCCCAGAATACAATTAAAAAAATAAAGCAATTACACAGCATAAAAGAAAACTCTTTGAGAAGATTTACTGTACAGGCCTATTGGTCTGTTTCTTTTTCCTGGCTTGATTAAAAAATAACTCTCCACAATTAACAAAAACAAAACACGTCCAAAGTTGCAAACTATTTTCCTCTTTACAAAATACCCCCCCCCCCCCACACACACACACAAACTTGGCATTTGATTTGCTAATGTGCAGCCTGGGATGCAACACAAAGGAGGGATTGGATTTGAAAATGCGGACTTGTCTTCTAACAGTCAGAACGTTTCATTTTATTTCCTCTTGCAGTTTTCACCACCGATGATCAAAGGCTGAACTTCAACCACCGGGTTCATCAACAGAGACAGTCCCTGTACTATTTCAGGCGCGCGCGCACACACGAGCATACACACACACACACACACACATACACACACACACGTCCAGAATTGCACCAGAAACAGGGCGAAAGACAAAATAATAATAATAAAAAAAGGGGGAGCCACTTTATGGAACGTGCCGTTCAAAACAACCCCCCGTCCAAAAAGGTGGAAAAGGAAGCAGTACAAGAGCCATCAAAAGAGGGGGTGAGTGGGGAGGAGGGCGAAGGGAATCGAGTGGGAGAAAGTTGGGGGGGGGGAGAGTTTAACAAGGGACAGGGCTACCCCTCAAGAGCAGGAGTTGGAGAGGGGAGAAAAAAGAAGAGTGTTCCAAAAAGACCCAGGCGGGTGGAGGGGGGACCTCGCACGGATCGTCAGTTTCAGAGGAAAGCTCTTCCTGGCAAGAAGAAAACTGATTCAATATTTTTAAAGGGGGGGGGAGGGCAGATCCAGCTCAGAAAATCTGGGTGTTCCTAAACAACAATAACAACAAAAAATAGGCGGTTAGGAGTCAAAGAAGTGAAGAGACACAGAGGCGGTGTAAGTGGATGGCTTCTCCTTACCTGCAGCCCGCTTGGGTGCTTGTTGTTTCCTCCTTGGCATCGCTCTACTTTCTCCAATCTCACTTCTGTCCCCAGATCCAAGAACCCTTGGAAGCTCGTGTGTCTTGTTTCTCTGGCTTTCTCTGGCTCCCTCTCAGCTGGTTCCCCCAAATGCCCCCTCCAGCCAAGCCCCCCCTTCTGTTCACTTAACTGCTAGGAACCCGTTGGGTTTTTTATTTTATTTTACAGAGATCTAGGTTAGTATTATTTCACTGTTGCAACACTTGCTTTGCTTTGAGTCAAACATCCGAGACCAGGAGCAAATGAAAGGAACCCACAGTGCCAGCAAATAGGAATAAATAAATAACAAAATAGATTTTATATATATTAAAAAGGCAGCTCTGGAAAGATTTTGGGGCTTGCTGCTTCCTCCCTTGCCTCTCCTTTCCTCCTCCTCCTCCTCCTGGTAGATCTGTATGGCGGATTGGTGTGTGTGTGTGTGTGTGTATGTGTGTGTGTGCAGAAAGCTGCAGGTTTGTTGCTGTCAGATGCCAGGCTGTGAGTGATATGGAAGAGGACAGAGAGGCTTTGGATGGAAGGAAATCTGGTATTCACACACATACACACACACACACACACACACACATACACAGGCAGGGCGAGGCGATGCCAGCAAACATCGATCCACTGAGCAAACTGAACATTAACAAACTCCTCCTCCGCGACCTGATGACAGGATGAAATTTACTCCAAGCAGACAGAAGGCAGTCAGTTTATTAAAGAGACAGGGCTTGCTGATCCCAAGGAAAAAAAAAAGAAACTTATACACCGAGACACCGACTCCCCGAGCTGCTCAGTGCCAGCCTACCTGTACCCATATCTCCCCCAAAGTTCTCCATTCTGGTTCATGCCCAAGTAAGTTTCTAATCAGTGAAGTTTGAGCCTAGCTTGTTTCTGAGCAGGGCACTTTCAGCGGCTCCTTGTTTTTTTGCAGGCTTGTATTACTCCTCTCGTTTTGATTATTTGGCAATCTTGTCATTTCCTCTTTAGATTCCCTCTCCCTCTTTACCTCCCCCCCGCTGCCTTTTAGGAAGAAGGTTACATGGTAACTCTCCTTATTCCCACTTTTGAAACTAGGCTGCTGACAAGTTCCCACGGACTGACTTGATAAAGCGGTAGGCGCAGGCTACAGCTGTAACAAACTCTGTGGAGCTTTGCTCCTTTTCTCTGCCCCCTGTCCACCGTCTCCCTCTAGAAAGCTTATGTGTGAAGGAAGCTGTGTAGAAAGCAAGTTGTGATACACATTGCTATATTGGCGATTATATTACTGGGGAGGTCCTGGGATTAGAAGAACCAGCCAGGGACCTTAGAAGAGGTGAGATTTAGCTACACTAGGACAATGACATAAAAATTAAGTATTAAACAAAATAGGATATACCCGATTTTCCAGCATCCTACACTTTTATGTAGTCATTTACACCAGTACCTCTCAACTAGAGAAATATGTACCTCTCAGGGTATGCAGAGGTCTTCCATCAACTCATCTAGATATTTGCCTAGTTTTATAACAGGCTACATAAAAAATATTAGTGAAATCAGTACGACTCAAAATTTCATACAGAAAAAATTAGAAAAAAAAACGTTGTGGCAGTACAATGTATTTTTGTGTCTGATTTTATAAGTGACTAATTTTTAAGTGAAGTGAAACTTGGGGTCCACAAGACAAATCAGACTTCTGAAAGGAATACAGAAGTCTAGAAAGGTCAAGAAACCCTGGTTTACACTGCTGTGATTTGTGAAGTGCATGTAATACTCCATCTAGATCAGTGTGATTTTGTGTGTTGGGGGGGCAGGGTGTACCAAGTCAGAATGTTAGGTGGGTGGCTCCCAGAACACAAGAACGGGTGTGAATACCTACACAAGATGCAAGGCAGTGGAGAATTATGGCTTTCAATAAATATTATATTCTTCTGTTAGTTCCCAGTGACTATTTTAAAGCCAACAAGTGCAATAATAACAATAATAATTAGAGTCAGGCCCAGCACCTATTTTTCAGATTCAGATCTAAACTTCCCTAAAGTTCAGCATAGGTTCAAGGAGTCCATTTCTAATAATATTAATAACAAAAATAATGAGTTTATACCAAGAAAAACTGTAATCCTAAAAACAGAGTGCCTATTTTCCCATAGTACTGAATGGCCCAGCGCCATTCTAATTCACTCTCTTTATTCTGGGTTTATGGGTCCTTTAATCTGTGTTCTTCTATGTCCCGCAAAGAGCCCCCCTACCCCCAGTTTGTATGTAAATCACTGCCTGCTCTCATTACAGTAGACAAATTCCAAACCATGGTCAGTGTGGAGAATGAAAGGTACTGAAGAATTTCAAACAATGAATTTGATACATGAAAGCATGTCGAGTTTATTCATTTCACAGTGTCTTTTTATAATAGCTGCTGTTAACACCATGCAGTCTTTAAAAATGGTTTGGGGAACAGAGAATCGATTCTTATTCTTTTAACTGTAATTCTTATAAGTGGATTTCACTGTAGTTTAATACCTATATTTTATCATGGGACATATCAATAATAGGGTTTTTGTTTGTTGGTATTTTCACCTTGATTTCTATATGCTCCAACATGATTCATTAATATCCCACACAAAACAAATATGTTATTCAGTGATCCTTTAAGTGGAATTAAAGTATCACTAGTATTCAGTGGACACTGGAAATGCCAGCCCTGCAGTTCAGGAAGATAATGAGTTTCCTAAAGGAAAGACCTGATATGACCTTTGTACTTAGTGACCAAATATTTTTATGTCTCTGGAAAATGTCCCCTTAAAATAATTTGCCATCCCCCTCCTCATTGCTCTGGAAATCTTTTTAAAAGTTAAAAAAAATTGATGTCACAAATAAATGCATAGTTTAAATGATGACAAAAATTAGAGCTATTGCAATGTATTCATTTCCCCACTTCCCTGTAGCACAACTCTTCCATAACTGACATGGTAGGAAAGTAGCACTCATGACCTAGGATAATGGGCCTGATTCTCCAGAGGACCTTACATCTTTCCTAGCCTCTTACAGGGTGTGTTTACACAGCAAAATTATTTCAGAATAATGGCCGTTATTCTGAAATAATTATGCGAGCGTTTACACAGCAATTCCGTTACTGTATATCAAAATAATTTAAAAATAACGGACAGCTTATTCCGACTTCTATGAAGAATAATGCCTATTCCAAAATAGCTATTTCAAAATAAGGTGTGTATAGATGTTCCACTTCTGCTATTTTGAAATAGCCCCTCACAAGGGCCATTCTAAGTTATTCCTCCTGGGGCTCTAAATCGAGATAGTACATCTTCATTAGGGAATCTGGCCTCTGACTGACTAATTTTGAGGCTTCCCTGAAGTGTAGACGTGCTCTCTCAAAATAAGCTTTTTTGGAATAACTGTTCCGGAATAGCTTATTCCGAAATAACTATGCAGCGTAGACGTAGCCACACTATGCTCAGTCAGTGTACAATGTATACATTCACTTTGCACCTGTTTAAATGCAGGATGCAAGCTGCTGGAGCAACAAACAGCTATATTTTCATTATCCTTCAAAGACAGATCTCACATTATTGTATTGCTTATATTACTCATAAGATAAGGCACTGAATGTTATTCTATTGGTTCAAGTAGTGGAGTGTGACACAAGGAACCAGGATTCTACTTTCACCATTCATTTTGGATAAATTCGTGCCTTTGAGCTCTTAAAACTTGGTGCCTCAGTTCCATATTTATGTATCATCATCACCCTTTTCTAGCTCCCTCTTCTCCTGTCCATGCACTGAAGATGAAAATCATTATGTACCTGATCCAAATATATTGCTGCTTCTGCAGTGTCTCTTTAAAGGTAAATTGTATTAAAAGCTTTTTTTAAGAGCAAGTCATTGTTTACTGCCTATTTTGTCATTTGCTTACATTTCTATGAGCATTTTTTGGGGGAAGAAATTTCTCTCTCACCGAGGGTCCACTGCTTATGTGGTAGTTTAAAAGGCATAGACACAAGGTTTAACTAGAGCAATGATTTGGTGTAGTCTTGGATCAGGAAGTAGAGGCTATTGTTCTCCACAGGCATGGCTGACATCCAAGTGCTACAAACTGGGCATGGTATTTGCATCTGCAAGTGACTATTTAGGTCACAATATGTAAGATGAGAAAGCCACTGTTTTAAATGGTGCCTCCCTAGGGAAACAGAAATTGAGAAGATGGACTTCTGAGCACAGCGCTAGTGAGATGGCACCTTATCCTGAGTGATAAATGGGAGCATTAACAAGGCTTGGTTGAGAGGAAACCTACAGATTTATGGCTTCCTGTCTCCACCAGCAGATGTCATTATGGCTGACAGAACAGAATGCCTTTCAAGAGGGAGCTGGGGTGGGATTATGAAGAAGAGGAAAAAAGCAAGCAAAATCTGGTGTCCATTTTTATCCACCGATCAGAATCCGTTTATAATTTTGAATAGACCTAAGGCTGTGTCGCATCTGTGGACTCACTCCTTCTGTTGTTTATAACTAAGATGGAGAAGGTTATTTAGCATCACTCTCAGCACAGAAAGAACCTTTAATATTTGCTGAAAGCATTTTTGCACACTTAGCGATGAAAGTTAGGGAGAATACAAAGAACAGATAGCACCGGATACTATCTTGGCTTATCTGATGGAATAATTTTAATGGGTGTTTAATGTTTACCTTGGAAATGTGGCAATTGATTCTGAAGCTCTATTGAATTGTATCTATTTCTATTATATTACAGAATAATATTTCTCTTTCCTGTACTGGCGAAATGTTATGACCAATTATAGTGGTGACAGTTTTGCATGCTCAAAGAAAGATAATGAAATCTCATGGTTCAGGGCATAACATGAATCCTTAAAGGGGTCAGGAGGAATTTTTCTTTCTTCATTTATGGCACTATACAAATGACTGGATGCATTACTGGAGGTTTACCCTACCCCTTCTTTTGCAGGATATGGATTTGATAGAGGAATGGACTGATCCAGGATGGACAATTCTATGTTCCTGTGATGTACTGAGATTTTGGGCTGATTTCTTAAAAGGATGCACACAACTGCATAACTCAGTGGTAACTGCAAGGAAATAATCAGTTTCAGGTGTAGGCGATTTTTCAGATGCAGATTAAACATCACACTCTGCATTCTTGGTCATCTCAGATAGTAGCTTACATCCTAAGTAGTCACAGAGTTTTAATATCAGTGTAGTACCTTACTCTTTGTGAGCAAGGGTATCCCAGACTGATCCTATCACAGCTCTGGATGCAATAGTGGAACTCCCTGTACATTTTCCCATACTTCCATAACTCATCCACATTGACCTTTACTCAGTTGCTGATGGCCCACCGAGAGCTGACTCCTCAGAGAGGGACTCAGATGGAGTAGCTGGGATTCCATGTACATCACACAAAGAGGAGAGCATTTTAGTTGGACTCATGGAGATGTCACTAGATCTTTGCTTACATGCAATAGTCCAGAAGACACATATAAGGGAAGCAGATGGACAGTTGCCTCTCTTCCAACCCTGGGCTGTAATAACAGC